ATGGCTCAGTAGTTAAGAGCACTGGCTGTTCTTGCAGAGGACCTAGGTTCAGTTTTCAGCCCCCACATGGTGACTACAACCATCTGTTAACTCCAGTTCCAAGGGAATCCAATGCCCTTTTCTGACCTCCATGGGTACTGCACAACACAGGTGCACTTAAACACATGCAAGCGTAACAGTCATACAATAAAAATAAATAAATAAATAAATAAATAAATAAACCCCAAATATTTAGAAGATAGCTTGACCTCATGACTATTTAGAAAAACAACATCAATAGTTTCTCCCCCAGGGCCTATGACTTCTGTATCCATGGGGTTTGACTATATTTACAGTACCAAGCATTAATTCTCTCCTGTGGAGCAGGCCTCAAATCCAGTCGAGTGAGCAATCAGTTACCCCCATAAACAATATTTCAGCTATTGCAATAGCAGTCACATCTTGCCAGACAGGTCAGTATTATAGTATGTATGCAGGGTTCCAGGGTTCAGTGCTGAGTAAGACCATTGACACGAGGTTCTTCTTTTGCAACTGATATGTTCCCTACTTCTAATAGTTCCTGGAAGAGATGTCCATGTCCCTTAGAGTGTTGCAGATACTCTAAAGATCTGAGTTTAGGATGTTACAGTTGGTAATCAATGAGGCTGACAGCTGTGAGCTATCATTTTTGGCATTAGCATTAGCATTTGTTTTATCATTACATTTATCATTTTGTTGAAGGTGACTGACTGCCTGGGATGGCGTTTGTTGGTCTCATGAGGCCTGCATCTCTCAATCAGTATATGTTCTCAGATGCTACAGGTGAGAATGGACTATATTTTCATCATATTCTTTCTTGTCAGACTACAACTAGGGAGATAAGGTACAAGCTGACAGGTGGAGCTCAGCAACACTCGGTTAAACATTAATGCAATTGTTACCACTGGCCAGATGAGCAAGTACCCCAGAGTCAAGTTTCAGAATTGGCCAGTGTTCCCAGGCTGAGAAGTGACCTGTAGACATGGCTCAGTTTGCTGAGGTTCTGGCTGAAGTCGGCGACTTTGGTCGCTTCCAGGTACGGGTGATGGTCCTGATGGGCATTCCCAACTTCCTGTCTGCATACTTCGTGTTTGGCCAGGTCTTCATGGTTCTGGATGAGTCCCACCACTGTTCAGTGACCTGGGTCAAGAACCATACTTTCAACCTGAGTGTTGCCGAGCAGCTGTCCCTAAGCATACCCAATGACACTGCAGGCAGACTGGAGTCCTGCCTTATGTTCCGGCCGCCCCCTAACAATGCCAGCCTGGAAGACATCCTCAGCCACCGCTTCAATGAGATACAACCCTGTGAGACAGGCTGGGACTTTCCTGAGAACCGACCTCAGTCTCTAAAGAATGAGGTAAGATTGCCTATTTTCTGTCTTTCACATGATCTGTCCGTTCCTCTAACCTTGTGCCTTTGGTTGCTACTTGCTGCTGTCTCTGTCCCTGTGCCTGTATGGATGACCATTTATATACCTGTTTTCCTCTTTGCCAGTCATCCCGGTGCAGAATCCTGATGCTTCACAGGACTGGCCACAGCCTTTGTGCCCAGCTTTGAGCTCTACGTGCTGACTGACTCCAGACACCACGCTCCTTTTCTCTGACTGCTCTCCTGCTCATGTGTCTGTTTTTCAGTATCCTTTTGTCTGTCTCTTGGCTTGTCCCTCTGCCTACCTGGCCAGCTGCCTGCCCACACTCTTGTACCTGTCGACTTCCATTTGTCCATCTCATCAGGCTGGCTAGTCCTCTGTCTTCCTGTCACACCCTGTCTCTTTCCATGTTCACTCTTCTGCCTTACTGCTTTCTTGCATGGCATCCTGCTTTCCTAACTTCTCTCTAGGTCTCTGCCTGCCTGCTTCTGGCTGGTAGTTTGTACGCTGTCAGCAGAGTTCAAAGATGGCTGTATTATTTCACTTTAAAATGTAAATATCCTGTGCTTAATGAGTTCATTGTGGTACCCAGGGGTGCCTTGGTACTCATGGTTCCCACATGGTATCAGTGTGGGAACCATGGGGCTTAGGTGATGACGTCCCTCACTACTATATCTAATCTTATATGCCCTGTTGCTTCCTCAGTTTGACCTGGTATGTGATCGGAATTACCTGAAAGAGACCTCTCAGTCAGTGTTCATGGCTGGACTCCTTGTTGGGGCCCTTGTCTTTGGGCCTGTCTGTGATTGGTAGGTGTTATTGATCCAGTATTCCTCTAGGCTTCTGGTGCAGGCTTTGTTATCCCCCTGGTGCTTTCCTTGTGGCCCACCCTCTAATGGGGCTCCCAGGGAGGGCCATGTCTCCTCCATCTGACAGAGAGCCCAGTGCAGGCCTTCCTAGCTCTCCCTTGATTCAA